TTGTGTTCACTATGCTGTGTGTAAGATTGTGTTCACTATGCTGTGTGTAAGATTGTGTGTACTGTACTGTGTGTTTATTATGCTGTGTGTAAGATTGTTTGTTTATTATGCTGTGTGTAAGATTGTGTGTTTATTATGCTGTGTGTAAGATTGTGTTTACTGAACTAATGATAATAATAATAATAAATAACGGTTTATTGAAAAAGTTCTGCAGCCCGAAGGTTGAACATATACATTGGACATAAATGACATATTACATACATTGGTGGTTTAACAAAAGACTTCATTAGAGAAAGGTAAAGGAACATAAAGTGAGCATACAGATAAATGTAAGTGTTGAACAGCAAACACGTAGTGTAGTAACTCCCTCCCAGATGGTGTTAGGAGGAACCTCACGTGGTGTAGTAGTTCCCTCACAGATGGTGTTATGAGGGACCTCACGTGGTATAGTAATTCCCTCACAGATGGTGTTAGGAGGGACCTCACGTGGTGTAGTAGTTCCCTCACAGATGGTGTTATGAGGGACCTCACGTGGTGTAGTAATTCCCTCACAGATGGTGTTATGAGGGACCTCACGTGGTGTAGGAATTCCCTCACAGATGGTGTTATGAGGGGCCTGACGTGGTGTAGTAATTTCCTCACAGATGGTGTTAGGAGGGACCTCACGTGGTGTAGTAGTTCCTCACAGATGGTGTTATGAGGGACCTCACGTGGTGTAGTAATTCCCTCACAGATGGTGTTATGAGGGACCTCACGTGGTGTAGTAATTCCTCACAGATGGTGTTATGAGGGCCTCACGTGTGTAGTAATTCCCTCACAGATGGTGTTATGAGGCCTGACGTGGTGTAGTAATTCCCTCACAGATGGTGTTAGGAGGGACCTCACGTGTTGTAGTAGTTCCCTCACAGATGGTGTTATGAGGGACCTCACATGGTGTAGTAATTCCCTCACAGATGGTGTTATGAGGGACCTCACGTGGTGTAGTAGTTCCCTCACAGATGGTGTTATGAGGGGCCTCAGGTGGTGTAGTAACTCCCTCACAGAGGGTGTTATGAGGGGCCTGACGTGGTGTAGTAATTCCCTCACAGATGGTGTTATATGAGTGAGGTGTGGTCCCAGGCTTTCCTATTTTAGACGGATTAACACATCGCTGGTTGTTGTTGGGTCTCACGGGCAGTTATCACTGGGTACCTGGGACCTCATTGTGTGAAGGTTAACTTGGGTACGACTCGGCTGATACTGTTGAGTTGTTCTGTGTGTAAGATTATGTTTACTCTTTACTGTGCCGTATGTAAGATTGTGTTTACTATGCTGTGTGTAATATTGTGTTTACTGAACTGTGTGTAAGATTGTGTTTACTGATGTGTGGGTGTCGTTGGCAGGCGTTTGAGATAAAAAAGAAGGGCGTGGGTAAGGTGGAGGTGAAGCAGGGTACCCTACACGAGGAAGGCAAGATGGACGACGGCCTTGTCTTCTACAGGAGTCAGGAGGAGGAGTCCCGCACCGGTCGCGTCATCCGTAAATGTTCACATCTGTTCAACTCCTTCATCAAGTGAGTGTTACCTTCATCAAGTGTTACCTTCATCAAGTATTACCTTCATCAAGTGTCACCTTGTCAAGTGTTACAGTCATCAAGTGATACCTTCATCAAGTGTCACCTTCATCAAGTGTTACCTTCATCGAGTGCTACCTTCATCAAGTGTTACCTTCATCAAGTGTTACCTTCATTAAGTTTCACCTTCATCAAGTGTTACCTTCGTCAAGTGTCACCTTCATCAAGTGTTACCTTCATCAAGTGCTACCCTCATCAAGTGTTACCTTCATCAAGTGTTACCTTCATTAAGTGTTACCTTCATTAAGTGTTACCTTCATTAAGTGTTACCTTCATCAAGTGTTACCTTCATCAAGTGTTACCTTCATTAAGTGTCACCTTCATCAAGTGTTACCTTCATCAAGTGTTACCTTCATCAAGTGTCACCTTCATCAAGTGTTACCTTCATCAAGTGTTACCTTCATCAAGTGTCACCTTCATCAAGTGTTACCTTCATTAAGTGTCACCTTCATCAAGTGTCACCTTCATCAAGTGTTACCTTCATTAAGTGTCACCTTCATCAAGTGTTACCTTCATCAAGTGTTATCTTCATTAAGTTTCACCTTCATCCAGTGTTTCCTTCATCAAGTGTTACCTTCATCAAGTGTCACCTTCATCAAGTGTTACCTTCATCAAGTGTCACCTTCATCAAGTGTCACCTTCATCAAGTGTTACCTTCGTCAAGTGCTACCCTCATTAAGTGTCACCTTCATCACGTGTTACCTTCATCAAGTGTCACCTTCATCAAGTGTCACTTACATCCGTTTGTACACTTGTCTTCCCGTCATAAAACCAAAATAATTCAAATAATCATAAAAATATGTGTTTGGGTTAAATTAAATACACTCACTTTAGTTATGGGATAAATTAAACCGTGTACGTGGTTAAGTATGATAAGATTTAGATAAAGAGGTAAAGGGAGTTTATATGGTGGTGAGCAGTGTGGCGTAGCCTGAATCTGGTGCT